GAATCAGATACAGATCTGAAAATAATTTTGCTGCACCGTCAAAATAGTTACGTAGGAATCTTGAGTATATTAAGCAATGCTGCAAAAAGTTTTAACATTCTAGCAATAAATTTGAGCGTCCTACATAATTATTTTGATATTCCAAATAAAATTATTTTTAAATCTGTATCTAGCTAAATTTTTAAGTATTTCAGCAAAACCGTTTTTTCGGGCATAAAAGTTGCATTACCTTACTCAACTCAAGTGATATGTATTCTTGAATTCCTACAAGAATAATTCTATTTCATCCCAAGTGGTAGCATGTTTTTGTTTTAACCCAAGATTCAAAATATTTAAACAACACAGAGCAATGAGCCAAGCGCAATTAGTGCACAATATTACAATTAATATATTGATAAAGTCAAATATAAAAATTAAAATCCCATGGGATTTTGTCAATATATTAATTATAATATTGTGTACTGACATCGTACACAGAGAGAAAAATGTTTGGTATTTGTAACTATAATTATATATTACTATAATTATTATTATAGTAGTAATAAACATAATTATAGTAATATATAATTATATTTACAAATACCAAACATTTTTCTCTCTGTGTACTTGGCTCATTGCCCTGCGTTGTTTCTTATTTAAATTTTTATTTTTTGAGCCTTCAGATACTTGGTTTAATTTTAAAAATATTTAACATAAAAAACTTGATAGGTACTGCTAAAGCAAATACATATATAATATCCATATTACGATATATTTTGTGCGATATATTGTATTAGAAAAAAAGATTATAAGAAGGGATCGCATACGACTAAATTAATTATAATAACTGATGAATAATTAATTAAAATCAGTTAAAAGGATTCGTAGTTAGCAAACGACTAATCGTAATGCGAAACACGCATTATGCTAGTACGTAATGATATTCCTGCATTCCTCAAGCACAGTTATGAGGGACACAATTGATCCTCGAAACCGGGTGCATTTCACCTCGTTAAGTACACTCTTGCACTCGAACGCATACGCTCGCTCCAAATTCGGTATGCAACTTCCGTGTGAGCGCGGCGCAAAATCACGTAGTGAGCGTTGAATCGTGCATGACCGGTACAATGACGGTAGAAAATGAAACTAGGGCCACTAGACGAAATTTGTATAATTTAACGCGCGTTTCAAACAGTGCGACAATTACAATAGTATACTGTAAAACGAAGCGAAAACATTTAGAAACATCGATGCTCGCACGTTGCTAAAGAAACGTTGCACCGGAAAAAGATGTAACACTGAGAAATATGACCAACTTCGCGTTTCTCTCGCGTAGGTGATAGCTACGGAAATTACGTTTTTAGAAATGCTGTTTGTCTTCCAGAAGAACTCTCCCCTGTAAGATTTGCATTAAATAATTCGCCGTAATGTCCCACTCTTGATACATCTTACAAAATTTAGAGAAGGAACGTTTATTAATCTCTGTGAAGTTAGCACCTCATTTTAAAAAATCGGAAATTTTATTAATAATTCTGCTTGCACCCGCAATAGTTCTACAGTTCTCCTGCTAGGTTTTATAAATAGTTTCGTTGTGATTTAGCTAAAAAAAAATAAAATAAAATAAGAATATGAGGTGCTAATTTCGCGTGGCACCTCAAGATTCGAAAAAGTTGATTTTTATTATGAAATCTTATACTTCTCGAAGAGTTCTATAGTTCCTGATAAATTTTAACAATAGTTCCGGTCCCTAAATATTTTGAAATAAATTTTAAAAATTTAAGAGTTTGCACCTCAAGAGAGAGAGAGAGAGAGAGAGAGAGAGAGAGTTTCACAAAAATGAATTTTTATTATGGAATTCTTTTATTCTCGAAGAGTCCTACAGTTTCTCTGATAAGTTTTAGTGACAGTTCTGGCCTTTAAATATTTTTAAACAATCTTTAATCGAATATTGTTGGTTAAATAGATAAGTCGAATCGATCTTCACACATTTAGGAATATCGATCTAATCGATATCTTGCGGATTCGCCATTACATTCTTTATTGTTGTGTGCTCATCTTGTTACTTTATGTTACTCTATGTTCACTTCTCTTGTGTCTGTTGTGTATGAAATATATATTACCTCAAGTAAATCTGTTACTCAAATTAATTACATTGCCCACACTTAACTGCGCATTTAAGACAACAAATATATATATATATATTTATATACAGAAAAAAATGAATTCCTGATTCACGTATATTTTTATTTTTGTATGCTATTTACTTTCATTTAAGTATAAAATGTTCTCTTCAATTATAAATGTTCACTGGCGTCAATAATAAATAGATTTGTGCAAAGTATATTTTATTCTTAAAATTGTGTTCTTGTTTCTAAAATCATTACATAGTTCTAACAAACTCAATCGCATTATTTAGAAACTATTTATTCTTGGATTTAGAATTACAAATTTGAAAATTCGCCGGCAGGCGGCAAGAGTAGATATGTGTAAGGACCTCTTAGTAATATCAAGATGTCGGAAATGCATGGGTGCAGTGAATGACGTTTGACGATGGTTTTGTGAGTGAACTGTTGCATTCGTGGAACATATCTCTAAATGTGGTTCAATCTTTTTAAGGATGGATGAAATATTCAGCTCGTCCTAATGTTTCTGTCAGTTATATTGCAAATGGGGATGCGTGAACAGCCGGCCGATTTTGTCACTGCGACGCGACGAAGAGGCGGTTGCCTATACACACGGGCGGATTTTCTGCGGCGAATTCGCGGATCTGCTATCCACAGTCAAATGGGTGAGATGAGCAATGAATCTGCCGCGGCGGATCCGCCTATGTGTGCAACTAGCGTTCTCTACCATTACGACGAGGTTGACCGTCTGTTTGCATCATTATTTGGAATATAGCTAACGGAGGTATTGGTAGAACGGTCTCAGCATTTCACTTGCCTTTGAATCACATTAGTAGAGTTTGATTCAGTTTTTCCTTGAGAGCTTGTACTTGTGCACATTAGGAGGCATGCTCTATATAAATGTGGCACTTCATTTACAAAGCTATCGTCATTTACTGCAGCATTGGTTTCTGTCATCTTGATGTTACTGGAAAGTTACTGGGGGCTTGAAATAAAAGTTGACAAAAGGCATTGAAGAAAAAATAATGCTAATACAAGCATATTTAATGATGAACGAGTGCAACTTTATTCTTTTATTGAAATAAAATTTGTTTTGAACTAAGAATATAATTTATTTCATTTTAAGACTAATTTATTTTTAATTGAAAATTGTTTATTCTTGGCGCTATTTTAAACATAAAATATTCTTCGATTAAAGCATTTATGCATTCCTTTAAGAATTCATTTATTTGTGTGTAGATCTTCCTGATAGTATATTCTTATAGTATTTCATGATCCAACTTGTGTTAAATGTAAACACAAGTATATTCTTATAGTATTTCATGATCCAACTTGTGTTAAATGTAAACACACGCAACACACACACAATACCATTAATTTTGAAATCTATCATCGCTTATTAGAAACAAAATGTTTCTTTGCAGAGCGTTTAAACGACCTATTTTATTATTTTTGGAAGGTTTCTCAAACTTTCCTGGATAAATAAGCATTTTTTCATGAATATACGGACTTCTAAAGTGACAATCGCATAGGTTTTAAAGGTGTCCATTCAGGACCAATTTTGGCCATTTTTACACACCTTCCTTTAATAACTCAAACACGTTTTTCTTTATAAGTTACAATTAATTAAAAATTTTTGCCGAAACTGATTATTCGTATTTTTAGTTAATACGGTAATTTTTTATAGAATTTTTTAAGTGATAGTTTTCAAGAAAATAAATTTTTCCTTCCGTCTGAAAAATTTACAAAATGACTACAAATTCACAACATTTTGCTTTGACACGCTTTATTTATAAATTTATAAATAAAAGTCTTTACTTAAAAGATACTCTAGTTATATTGCTTTAAACTATAATTAACATTCATATATTAAGATATAAAAGTACAGTATGCGCCAAAAAAATGCGACTCTCTTTTAATTACTATTATGCTGAGTGTGACACAATAACGCAGTGATTGCAATTAAAGGAAATCATATCGAATAAATATTTGGTAGAAGGACAAAATATTTGTGTTATAATCAAATTTGCCCCCGTCCACTTACTTTATTTAACTAAACCGATAACTAAAGTATTAGTTGTGAGAGTCGCATTTTTTTTGCGTATACTGTAATGGCCGTAACGATCAAAGCTAGATCTTTAATGCTTAAATAATTAAATTTGAATTACTATATATATTATATTTGTACTTGCATATATACAATATTTGTAGTTTCGAACTGCGAGCCAAATTGTTTTTCCGGACTTATAAACGCAATTAAACTACTGTAGTAATATATCACGAATTAAATTGACAATTTTAATAATTTGATGCTCAATCAAGCATCCTATTAAAAGATGTTAATATGCTGAAAAACTGTAAATAAATTTATTCTTATTATTCAAATATTATCAATACAAATTAATATAATGTTAAACATAAAACAAAATCCTTTTTGTTCAGAATTATTTGGCACGCAGAGCGTTGCTGAATCAGTTTTGTTTTTTGTTTAAAATTATAGTTTATATCACTAATATATAAATATTAATTATTGTAGTTTAAGGTCAATATTCTTTGAATAAAAACTTCAATAATTGATACTCTCTTCGGTTTTATTTAACTATAGGTACTCGCAAATTCTCTGATTCCCTTCTTCATCAGAATCATCGATAATCAAACTCATGTAATGGTATTTATTTTAAACGGTGTGTGTGTTCTATAATCACGTTACAGTGCGGCACTAATTGTAAGTGTACATCAGACTATCATTGGATGCGAGAAATGAGAGGTTATTAGTACTCTGATATACTACAACAGCATCGTTCGTGTTTACCCTATGTCCGCAATTCCTTCACTTTCCCGTATGTCTAAATGTATAGATACGTTCAGATGAATAAAACAAACGTATTGCGCTTACAGAGGCACAGCATACACGGTATGATGGAGGAAGAGAACGTCGTGAGACCTCATCAGGAAATGGCCAGCCTGTCGCTTCAGGAAAAGAAATATCTTCTCGCTGTCGAGCGCGGAGACGTGGCTTCCGTTAGAAGGTCAGTTGAAATTTATAGTTGAAAATTTATGAATATTTTTGACTTTTCTATTAGCAGAGAAGAATACAAGGCCAACAAATGAATGAATTTCCGGTTTAATCAAATATATATGTATTTTTAACATTTCACTTTACATTGATGTATGTACCGCAAAATTTTCGTAACATGAAACTCTTTCCAGACAGATATGCTGTTTTTTGATAGCTTGAGAATATTGCATATGCATATTGCCGTAACAAAAGAAAGAGGAGAAAAAAGAGATAGAAGAGAAGAAAAGAATTCTTTATATATATAATATATAAAACATTTATTTAAGTAAAAAAATAACTTATTTATATACAAATATGGAACGAGTTTCATCTTGTTTGCATTTCATTCATACACGTGTATCCGTACGCAATGCACACGTGTATCCTTACAAGTTTCTCTATCTTTTTATCTTTTTATTCCGCGAATTAAGAGTATGATTATCGTACGTCTTCGTTATCCTAATAGAGCTATTATAAGAAATACCTAGACACGTGCGCTGACACGCGTGCTACTGCTAACGAAAATAGATAATTGTGTCGAATGTGGGATTCGTTGTGCGAGCAGGTATCTAGGGAGGACAGAAAACTTCTTCCGTACAAAAAAAAGAAAAAATACGAATTAATAGAAATAAACTTTTTCATAGACGTTAACTGTGTCGCAACATTACGTAAAATTTTATTTCACTTGAACTTTCTGAAACAAGTCTTATATTTTATAACATTAATTTTGATTTCTACCAAGATTAACTTTAATCTTGATTTAATTATTCTTAGTTTTTTTTAATTCTTAAAATTAGAAAATATAAAGCGTTAGTTAAACCGAGATTAAATTAATTAATCTACATTGTAGAAACGGACATAATTTGACTTTGGCGTGTGTATTCTATAAAAATATGTATTATATAGAATTATCACCATATCCTCTCATTTAATTTTGTTAACGTTTCAAAAATCTTACAATATTTATAAAAATACATACGCGATTTATATAAAAAGTTAAGATAGGCGGCTATTCCTTTAAAATTTTTCCTTGGTTTATTATTACTCAATGCAGCGTAATATTATTGTAAAAAATATTTAATGTGTAGGTACTACGTCACCTTCTTTAAATAAATGAACTTCCGCTCGACGTGTGTACGGCACAAAATCTTCTAATTATCTTATAAAGCTTGCTTGCGCGATTTTGAAAGTTTCAAGAATTCTCCCTGCTATGTTTTCATGTTACCGTAATTGAAGCTGATTGCTATCTATGATTAACTTGCCACTCTTGCGAAATTCCTCCGTTATAATTTATAGTTATAACTTTTGATCTGACATTGCTTTTCTATTCTGATTTTAACAAGAAGCAGCCAAATTCATTTGAAAAAAACAGGTTTCTCTAACTTTTGATAAAGTTATATTATCAAATAATTGTTTTTAAAGTTGTATAAGTTTAGAAGCTATCGAATATTTATTCTATTACAAATTCTTTGCTGAAATAAAATTCTAGTTGACAAAAATATTGAAGCATTTATAGTTTTCAAGTAATTATCGATTAAAAACATGGGGTTTAAATTAAGTTTAAAAAATAAATGACAAAATTTTATAGATAATTCTAAGTATCTAATAGAATTTTAATTTGAAACAATATTTGCAAATATATATAATGCTAATAATTGAAAAGATCTAATAAATGATATTTCGATCGATATTATTCAGAAAAATTATTTTTCCTAACCATGAGAATTTGCTAAAAGGATATCCGATAATTTTGAGATTTTCTATACATATACGAATGTTTGCACTTACGAATCCTACACTGCAATTCATCAATCTTCCAAATACCTCCTGTCACTACAGAATGCTCCAAAAAGCCCACGAGGCCGACATTAACATTAACTGCGTGGATCCTCTTGGACGATCAGCCCTCCTCATGGCGATCGATAATGAAAATCTAGAGATGGTGGAGCTTTTAATAGAGCACAAGGTCGATACCAAGGATGCGCTCCTTCACGCTATCTCCGAGGAATTCGTTGAAGCGGTGGAGGTCCTTCTAGAACATGAGGAGACCCTTCACAGGAATGGCGAGCCACACGTAAGCGTCTGTATCAACATCTTTTATATCTAAATAAGAGTGAGAGAGAGAGAGAGAGAGAGAGAGAGAGAGAGAGAGAGAGAGAATATAATAATTACGTATAATTTATTAGTCAGTTTTATATGATTTAAAAAAATGTAAATATTCTTTGTTATATTTAAATTGTTCTTTGTTTGTTTTTGTTTTAATATAACGTACACAATTTTAGAGTCAGTTTTATATGATTTAAAAAAATATAAATATTAATTTTTTAAATTATAATTAAAATTATATTAGTTTTAAAAAATATATTTCAATGTTTTATGTTCTACGTTGATTTATTTTAATTAGTAAAAGCCAATCATACTGTCGTAAAGTACACAGATCGAGTTTTTTAATTAAATAATAATCTTGCAATTTTTTTACGTGAGATATATATATACAGGGTGTTTCCAAATTAAATCGCAAAACTTCGGGAGCGTGTAGAGGAGTAAAAAACTAAGAAAAAAAGTCCTATAGACATATGCTC